TGTTCTTGGGTATATGATGATTACATGCATATAAATGAAAAAAAAAAAGATATGATATTTACATTTCATATTTACACTTTCATTTATTTCCTTTCCCCCCATAATGGTACTTTTCGAAGCAAGTGACACCACCTTTAAATAGCACAACCCAACATTGCATGTTTTGCACATATACCGAGATCCGTATTGGATTCACTATCAGAAGGTAAGTTGTTTATCACTTTCAGTGCTTCATAAATGGTCAGCCCTCTCCGATCCACACTGGATTAAAAATCAGAAAAAATACATGAATATTGTATCTACAATTAAGAAAATATAAATTACAAAATAAAATTAAATAAACATCTACAACACAAAACTAACAAAACATAGAGCTAACAAAACTTCTTTCAACAAAAGAAAAAAGGAGAACTGTCCTAGTGAAAAATCAAAGAGCAAACTGATAAAACTATCCCTGACCTTAAGAAAAACAGTCCAACAACTTCTTAGTTGATAACCAACCCCCCCCCCCCCCCCCCCGAAAAAAAAAAGAGAGCAGAAGAACAGGATGTGAAACACAGATGTGCACCCACCTTTCTGCTGTGAATGAGACCACGAAAGAAAATACTGCAAAGAAACAAAGATACAGTTGTTGGTTCGGTCCTGGTGTTTTAGTGATCCTACTCTGGGCACACCAGATGTTAATCATTTGATTTTAGGCAAGATTTCAAGGTAAAAATTTAAAACTAATATAGAATAAAGGGGTCAGTATACAGCAAGAAAATAACACAGAAATTTCTTTTCAAACAATTCCTTTTATAATCTTAAAAAAAAAAAAAAAATTCTGGAAGACTTCTTTAAAAAAATACAGGTCTTTAGAAACTAAACCGTTTTTTTGTTGTGGCTAAAATGTATGGACTTTTTTTTTTTTTTTTGTTGTGCTACAATATAGTATAAATAAAGAAGGTTAAAAGTAACTTGTTACCTATAAAGCCTTTTCCATTCAGTTTTTTTTTTTTTTTTGTGTGTGTGTGTGTGTGTGTGTGTGTGTGAGTGTGTGCATGTGTGTGTGTGCAGAGGAAATTTCTTGGGCACACTGTACAAGAAAGGGTTAAATTATAGTTGCAGAATATCTCAACATGCTGTGTTATTTAAAAGCAATAAATATTCTTCTTAATAATTTATATCTTTATTTCTTTATAATATGCCTAACTGATATAATTTGAAATATGTTTAATTTATGATAGATTCAGATCCAATTGATAGTTTTCACTAACAATTACAACATTGCTATAATCAGTAAAAGTGGTTTCTAACATCATAAATTATGTATCGTGGTATAGAATACAGTTTTTCGGCCTGGTCATGATAGCATTAAGTAAGTCATTTTTATTAGTATGAAAATAGGTGTCACAACAAAAGTGCTGGATTTTACATGCTCACAAAACTATTATGTTTTTAGAAAACAGAAAATATCCTTACATACTTGCAACAGGCAAATGTTTTTTCGGTTTAAAAATGTCGAGTTTTATTTGACCTAGTAAGACTGGTGTTTTATCACTGGAAGTTCATTTCGCAACATCACTGCAGCTTAGTCGACGGACACATAACAAACGTTACACATAAAAACAGTGAGTTTTAAATGTAAAAACTTGGTGCAGTACAAAGTCCGTAATCCAGACATCCATTATCCGGAATGATCTATAATGCGTACCTCAAAGCCACAAACTTACGCATGTGTTTAATGCGTTTTCATATGTGCGTTTGATGCACATGTCCATTACGTATGCGCATAAAGCCAGTAAAGCATTTACACATGCGCGGTTCCGATAGTGAAGAAAGAGACAGAGAAGTTATTGAAAACGAAACAAATTTCGATTCACAAGTTAGTCGGTATTCTCGACACAGCAATTACAGGACTTGAACAGTGGAACTTTGTAACTGAACAAGCAATTATGTCTCTGTTTAGAGAAGAGAGAATTAAACAGAAAGTATTAGTAAAAAAACGAAGCAACTTAAACAACTTACATTGAAAGAAATGTTTAATAAAGTAAAGAAATAAATATTAAGCTTTTTTTTTTTTTTTTTTTTTTTTTTTTTTTTTGTAAATTTTGATACCCTTTAGATCATAATCACTCTTTATTTCATAAATTACGGTTTCCTATTTTTAATTGTATAATTTTTCATGCCATCTTACCAAATTTAAATTGATGATCTATAATGCGGAATCGCCGATGTCCCACGAGTTCGGATTACGGACTTTGTACTGTACTTATGCATTAAAGAAGAAAAAGATTAAAATTCAGAAAAAAAAAAAAAAAAGTTGCCAACTTTGATATCATAATAAAAATTAATCACTAATGCAACCATATGACATAGCTCAGTTTTAAGTTGCCTATATAAGCCGCAGTTTTAAGAAAGAAATTTATAGAGCCATCATAGATCTGTGGAATTTAGCAAATAATGAAGGTTATGCAATTAGTTTCTTACAAGAGTACAATGTACCGTTGAGTAACTGTCAGTGCTCCAGTTTGCACAGAATGAAGTTTTATTCAAATCAATCAAAGAGCACACAATGATATTGCAACAGCAAGACATTATTTAAAGTTTTATATAGTGGAGTTCACGTGGCAGCAGAAAATTGTAGCTAAGTTAAAAAAAAACACTTCACAGATATTTCAGAAACAACTGCCAAACATTTCCGACATGAAATAAAGAAAAGCTAATTGTATCAAATTACTGCTGGAGTTAGCCAATCTTTCTTCGTAACAGGTTAACGACTGAAAACCAGGGCTGAGGAGTCAGAATCAGAGTTAAGCAGATTTTTGAGTAAAAGGAACTGAAAAAAATTAATGACAAACTGAGTTATTATTTTTATTTATGGACTATATACTTATTACAAATATTTAGTTATTTTCTGTTTAACTGATATATTAATAAATATAGGGGAGGACAATGGGTGTGTGATATTTGCCATTATTCATTAAACTGATTCATTTAGTTACCTCTTCAGCTCATATATTCTGGCATTCTTCTTCTTCTTCAACGACTCAACAGCCCTGGGTGGGATGTGGCCTTCTCTAGAAATCTCTATTTTTGGCAACTGTTTTCCGGTTTTTAGCTTTAAGATATTCTTTAAGAAATCTTTTTCAACATAATTAATACATCTTAGCAGGGGTCTGCCCCGAGGTCTTTTTCCCATGGGCTTTGCCAGAAAATTTTTCTTGCAGCAATGATCTTCATTCATTTTAGTTAGATGGTCAGCACAGTCTCTGTAATTTGACAAATTTTACAATATCAGGTTGTTTTTAAATTTTATAGAGTTCTAAATTAGATCATCTTCTTCATGATCCATTCATTTGAATCCCTAACACAGGTTGCTGCTTCACTTTTATGATTTTTTTAGGCGTGTTTATCTTCTGTCTTGAAGAGAAACTAGTTTGCTAGACAGTGAGATCTTACTGTGATCAATATATGTAAATCCAAAACACCGAATTATGTTGGATGATGAACAAATTAAAAACACAAAAAAGGCATCCATGAAATTTTCCTAAGAATGAAATTATTCTCAGAACAACTGGAGTATTCAAATCAAGACAGTCAGACTGCAGATATTGCAACTGAGTCTCAATGATCTTTTTCCAATGATGAATTAGATTTTCAGAAATATTTGTATAATATTGAAAAGGCTAAGGCAAAGTGAATGAAAATAAAGAACCCAGAGTCTTTAGACATAAAAATGAAGAAATACAAACAAGATTTCTACACAGTCCTTGAGAAATAGAGAAATGTGATTGCTTTTTCAAGACACCTCTTTTAGAACTTATACAAATCTATCCTGAAAAGTTAAAACAAGTGGCCTTAACAGTAACAGCTCTTCCTCCTTCTTAGTGTGGAAAGACTATTCTCAGCCCTGAAGTTTATCAAATCAGATCTACAGTCCTCTGTCAAAGAAAATCTTACTAAAGCTCTACTGTTTCTTAAAAATTACTAATGCCAGTTTTTTCATTTCATAATAAATGCTAATTAATATAAATAATCTGTTAAGCCATCAGTTTTTTTTTCCTTCTGTAGCATCTATTACTTCTTTTATATTTAAAATCAATAAGCTGTAACACATGTGTTTATGTTTACATACATATATGAGGAAGTTGGAGTCTTTAAGTTTAAAATTCTAGGAGTCAGATTTGGAGTCGGTAATTTTCCCTACTGACTCCACAGCCCTACTGAAAACTCATTAGTGTAATGGCGAATGTTATGCAAAGACTGTTACAAAGCTTTGTGCAGTCTTTAGATGTGAACGTACACCTAACAAAACAACAAACTGCAGACTGATAAAGACATTTAAGGACACATATTCAATAGCAGACACAAAATGTTCTCGACCCAGCTAGTTTGTTGAAAATATGGCTAATGTGTTGCCAGTGTTATTGAAAGTCCTAAACAAAGAATTAAAATAAAACAACATGAAGCGGAAATTGAATGTGCCATTAGTCACCTTGATAGGTAGATATGTGAAAAGGAAATTATGAATTCCATCAAGGCAATAGTAGAACAAGCTGTGGAGGACATATGCTAGACATTATTTATCATTCTTAGATTGGAACATTTACCTGCCATAAGTACATAAAGATATTTTCAGTTTTCTAAAAATAAAATAGTTTATTTGGCATATTGAATCTGGTGCTTCTATTCGAACACCCTTTATTGATACCATTTGAGAAGCAAGAAGCTCCTCCTCTATGGTATTGTATATGGCAATATTATGCATTTTCCATAATAAAGAAAGATTGATTAGAAAGATTGATTCCATAATAAAGAAAGATTGATAGAACAAAAAACACTACAAAGCTCTATTCCTTTCTCTCATGTGAAGGAAAAATACAATTTTATCAACCAATATTCTCAATAAGCATCTTACTGCTTTCTTTCCCATATCTGTTAGTTTTAAGTTATTTGAATAATATTTCAAAATTTCACTAACATTTCAATGAAATGAAGAATTAAAAGTAAATATTTACCTTGTATTGTGCAAGAGGAAACCTCTCTAACAAATATTCATCTATTCCACATACTTTCAAAAGATAGCTGTGTTGATGCTCTCTGGCACAATGCTGCTGCTGCTCTTTTGACATTTTCATACATTTTAATTTTTTTAATATTGCTTCATGCGTCACACTTTCAGGATATGCATCTTTTGAAACTTTAACTGTGTACTTCTGTTTCTCACCGGTAGGAGATAGAACCCAGACACATACAATTACTAAACCTAGAAAAAATATATATATATATGAACAAGCAAGGTAGTTAGGTACAATATTGTAAGACCAATTTGGTCTAAATAATTTTTTTGCACAATATGCTGCAAAATTAAAGATATTAGAAATGTAGAAAGCCCGCCAAAAAGTTACCAGGAGCTGTGGCTCCAAAAAGTTCAACAATTTTTTAAAACATGTCATTTGAAGGGTAAAAATATGCTACACTGAAATGCGTTGGAAATAGTAATGGCAAAAACACAGAAACTATCGATGTGAAATTGAAAAGTTAAAACATAGGAAAACCAACGATGGAACAAGTTAAAACATAAACACCAAAAATATAAAAATAAATGCGTAAATTAGCTGAATTCGAAGTCCAGCCTGGCTTTTCAAGGAAAATTTCTAATTGAACGTCGAATTAAGCTAACTCCATACTGCGTTTCACCAAAACAGACAATTGAAACTTTTGCACTACAAAATTTTAATTAAATAGATGAAGTGTCTTAGAAAATTTATGAGTCTTATTTCTCTGTTCCAATTTCCCGACGCGTCCGCACAAAATGACACATTAATGTGTTAAAAGATGTAAAAACAATTCTGATTTACATCAATAATCAAGATAAAAATAAATAGCAGTCTGCTAATAGTCAAAAAATATAATAACTTACGGGCTGGACCTACAAGCTTAAAGAATTATACCTTTATAAATTTTAGAAATCATATATATATATATATATTCCTGCTTTTAACTTTCTAAACTCATTATGTAATACATTAACATGTTAACTTTTAATTATTCCCATGGCATACTAGGTAATGAAAACAACAAAAAATTCACTATAACTCATAACAAGGAATACCATAATTTTAAACTTAGAAAGTCCTTCATAAAGGCATGTCTTCTCTTAGACAGATAACCCTGATGTAAATCAAGATCAACGTTGAAACTTTCTGTATCTTATTATTTTGTGTCAAGTCAGATATAACTACAGGTAGCTTGCCTGCAAGTGTGGTATATATTCTTATGTTGGAAAAGACAAACAGAAAAAAATGTATGTGGCTTGGGTACATTAAACTAATCAATGCTTACACCTGCAGAATATTATGCATTGCCATACTTTTTTTTTACAAATATTCTCTTTACTATTTATATGTGGGATGTTGAATGAAAACATCTGCATTTGTATCCAAAGCCAAAATTGTTACTGCTTTGAGGTATAAAAAAGGCTTCATATTTTTTCTCTTTATATACTTTTCTAGCATGTTTATTATTCACAAAGTTTATAAGAAATATTACACAAATATACTAACTCAGCATTTGAAAATAATGTACAATATCAAAATATTTAATTTAGTTATCTTTTGTTTTGAAGCTGGGGATGGCAACAATTTATAAAGCAAATTAAAATCGAATTCTAAGTTTTATGACTTTTATTTTGGAAAACCGATACAATGTTATTTTTTATACATTTAAAATTATGAATGTTGAGATTCCAATAATGCAGTCAATAGAATGTTATAAACCTTAATACAGTGTGTTTATAAATGAAGGATGCAGTTTTAAAAATTAGTAATAAATCAATGTATTACTTTATATGAGCAAACCTTACAGCATAAGCAGCAACAACTGTCCAAGTTTTTTATGCATTACTCCCAATCCTTTAATATGTGCACCCTTGGTCACACAATATATATCAATATGGTAATCAAATTCTTTCCATACTTGGTGTAGCATGCTCACCGTGATAGTTTGCAGTGCATGCTTTATCTGATCACAAACTTCCTCAAGGGACATGAGGTCTGGCAGTACATAAACTCAGTCTTTAACAAACCCATAATAAAAGAAATCGCATGGTGAGCGAATGTGGTGGCCAGGGGCAGATGGATGTTGTCTGCTGTTGCAGCACATCCAATTCAGTGTTGGTGAAGAACATAATTAATGAGCTCTTGTACATTTCTGAGAAAATAATTCGAATCGCTCTTCAGTTGCAGAATGTAATCATCATAATTGATATTCAGCTGGGTAACAACCAGGTTTCCAATATGCCTAGAAATAAGTCATTCGTTACAGTTTCTTATTCGAAGAAAAATAGGTTGTGCACTTTCTCACAGGACACTGCAGAGAGAATGTTCACTTTTGGAGAGTCATGCTGATGTTCTATCTGTGTATGTGGTTTCTTGCTTCCTCAGATAAGGACATTGTGCTTGTTCACTTTATCACTTAAAGTAGCTTCATTGCAGAAGATAAGTCTTTCTAGAAAATAATCTTCCTCCACTTTTAACTGCATTTCTTCACAAAAGTCATGCCTTTTCACTTTGTCTGCTGGTGTAAGCACCTACATCAATCCCACTTCGTATGGTTTAAAACACAGCCACTTATGTGACACCTTTTATACCATATTCTTTGGCATGTCCAATTCCCTGCTTGCTTTACTAAATGACTTGTCAGGACTTTGCTGAAATGTCCCAGACACTCTTACAATATTTGCATCAGACACATGAGACTAGAACTCTTTGCCTTTACAAAGGCATCCAGTTTTCACTAACTGGAGCATTAACACATACTTATGTTATTCTTGTGAGGTGAGTCTTTCCTAAACCGTGCACTAAACTCATTCTGGACTGTAACCGTAGATCTACAAACCTCAAAATACAGCTCACAGAAAGCCTTTTGCTACTGCGATGCCATCTTGAAAAATAACACTGTGGCTGTGCAGTAAGAATGACAAGCAAACAACAGGTAGCACATGAGAAACTTGTACAGTTGCCAATGCTTACAATGTAGGTTTTACCATGGGTATGGTAATACATTGATTTATTATTAATTTTTTAAACTTCATTCATTTATAAACACACTGTATTGTGATCTAAATTTATGATTTGCATTATAAGAACTGTTTTGATGTTAATTTTAAGATGTTATAAGATGAAGTACAAGTTGCCTACTTTAGTTATTATTCATTTTAGTCATTAATTACTGTTACTTTAGTAATTATTTCCAGCATCAGCATAGACATTAGCTTTTCATTTAATATGATTCAGAAAGGCAACAAGAAAAAATCGCAATGAAAAAAAGAGGGGCGCAGAGAAAAAAATGCTCAGGGTGTAGATGCACTGGACTGATCAAAGTTCATGTCAACAAGTAATATTTTCAAAAATGAGAACAGTGAAAAACAGGCAAGAGATCATTGAGCAATAAAAAAAAAAAAAAAAAAAAAAGTTATCTCCATGCATTCAATAACTTAACATTCAATGGTAAAAATATTTGAGTTTTCATTGCGCTTAATACCAGATTAAAGTCTACAACATTAGCAGAATAATGCACTAATGTGGTCCCAAAGGGAACCTCTCATATCCACCGATGCTCATCAGCATACTTTATATACATTAAAAAAGCAATTATGTTTCGGATCTGCCAACTGAAGCAGTCTTGCTTCACATTCGTCAACCACAATCATTTTACTACCAAAATCAGATATAAAATAACGCTGACAGTCATCCCTTTTTTTTCATTCAAAAAAGTACTCTTCATGACGTCTCTCAAAACATGGCCAGAAAATTTTCCCCACTGTTGACGATTCAACAAGGTGGTGAGGCAGCATCGCAAATATGGTGTTTCTCATATTCTGTACAATTATTTGTTTAAAATGGCTCTGAAGAGATCCTATCATCTGAATGTTGGCACCCTAATAAGATTAACAAATATTGTCTGATGATTTACCATTTGGTGGGTGTAACAATTCCTACGCATATTCAAAGGCAAATACAGGATAGGAAACCTGTTGTTATAAATAAGGCATGTTGTGAAATTATTTAGTCACCTGTTGTGAAAATATCAAATAATCTATTCCTTCAAATTAAGCCAGAATGACTGGCATAAGTTTTGAGAGATCTCTGCCAACTTTTACTGTTGACAGGAAAATCAGAAAGTATCGATTTTTTAATGCAGCTAGTACATGTTAAGTTTTAAAACATTGGTATATGTCCTTTTGTTAGTAAAAGAACCTCTCTTGGACTTCTGGTTGTACATTTATCGTTATATATACCCATATAGACAAACTACTTCCTAAGATGTTAGGAAGTTAGTAACATGTTTTCAGTCCTCTCCATAACATGGCAAAAATAGAATCAGTTGTAAATAAAATTTGGATATACTAATGTGAAAAGAACTTGTTCCATTGCTTCCGAGTTCAGTTTCAGTAGTCTTGACTATACTGTTATATTCTTGTGTATATTCTTGTGTGCAGCGTATTGAGAAATATGTGTTGGCATTGCCAAAAGATGGCACTACAAATTTGTTTGTTTGATTCATCTCCTCACTGCCTGGGCATGTGACAGTGTAAAAAACTGAAACATAAACAGCAAAAATAAATACTTTTTATTCATTACCATTACTATTCAATAAATTTTTAACTGAAATTTTTGCTTTTTTCTTCTCTTGGTTAATGTTTTATAGCTTCTGCGTAGCAATTGTGGATTTTTTTTTACACAGATGTTTAGATAATATAAAAATCTTATTTCATAAAATTAATTATGAGATTAAATTTATACTATTCATCACAAACTTCTAATTCCTGGAATGAAGGCTTTTAACTATTGCATATGTACCCCTATAACAGAAATAGTGTCTTAATTTTAATTAAATTAAATTACCATTTAAAATGTATAATTTTATTTAAATATTATTTTAAATCAGAGTAGTACTAAAGGTTTTTATTAAAAAAGATCACACCTATTCTGAAAATTTTTATTCCCTATATGTCATGTATCATTTTAAAGTTTAGACAAGGTTAAAAAATTCTATTCCAAAATAAAAATTCATTCATTCTTTCTTAATCTCACAAGAAAACTCGATACTCTTCTGTTATCGGCACCAGCTTCAGAAATGTATGCAATTCTATTTTTGCCATGTTAACATGGCAAAAATAGAATCAGTTGTAAATTAAATTTGGTTATACTAATGTGAAAAGGACTTGTTCCATTGCTTCTGAGTTCAGTTTCAGTAGTCTTGACTATATTGTTAATATACAGGTATATCAATCATTTCCATTGTACTATCTGGGAACAACAAACAATCTCTTCCAAATATGTATAGCATATACATACCAATATTAAATAAATCATACAGCTATCCTTAAGAGTCACTAGTTTCCTTCAAGTGAACGCCATTCTTTTAATGACATTTTATTTGTGCATACTGATGTTACACTCTCATAATATGCTTTCATGAATGCTATATAATTTCACAGCACATAGATTTTGCAGAAAAATGTCATAACTTGAGAAAAAAATTCAACAGCCTCTGTTTCCATGGCTCAGCTATTCTCAGATATACACATATTTAAAAAACTGTAAGAAATTCTTAATGCAGCAATAGATAATAGGCCAGTAGAAAAGTACAAATACAATAACAGAAATTAAAATCGACTAGCCATTTGCCATGGAGGCCACTAGAATAGAAGCTATTAGACTATATGCTTAAATGAACTGACTTTAATGACATCACAGATTTACGTTTCATTTGCATTTTGTCAAAAAAAAAAAAAAAAAAAAAAAAAAAAAAAGAAGGAGACACAGATTTTATAATTATTTTATATTTACTTAAAATGTTTTTTTTTATTTCATTTTAAGTAAATTAAAAAAAATTATATTGCTTGCTATTCCTTTTGAAATCTCTGAAGAGTTAACTTTTTGTCTCATCTACACAATACAGTTCGTTAATATTTTAGAGGGTAGGTTTTGGATTATCAGAGCTTTTCATGCATTAATTAGCATGGATACACATAAATTTAGCGTATGCTTAAAAAATAAATAAAAACATAATCATTTAAAAAAGTTTTGAAATATTACAAAATATTTATGTATGTGTATTAACAGAAAAAGGATTTTTAATACAAAAATCTTTAAAATGTCTTTAATATAATTACAATATTTTTATATATATATGTGTGTGTGAATGTGTTTATATCCTTGACATCAAATATTGTACTTTCTTTTCATTTTTTTTAATGGTTCAGTTATAAGTTGACCCAATATTTTTTTGATTCCATCGATGGGTCCCAAGATCAATGAATCTTACACCAGAACAATATTTTCTTTCAAGAAAACATTAAGAATGTGTTTATATTGCCTTTGCCTACAACAACATGATTTTCAAAAACTTTGTTGCCGCTGTAGTGCAGTAAAATGAGTACGAATTTGGTTTTTTTATTGGCACTCATGTAACAAAAGGAAGGGGAAAAAAGTATTATAAGAACTCAGGACAATTTCCCTTTCATTTCACATATTACTTAAAATATTCCAAAAATATCATCTGAAAGCAAATTAATAATTTTGAATAATCCTTATTTTACATGTGTATCATTGTAATCATGTTGAACCATTTTGTTTCTCAATATCAGTAATGGTTTAAGAAAAGCATGAATATTTAATTTTTTTTCATTTAAGTAATTACATAACACATTATGAAAGCAGGCTGATGACTTACCTTTATCTAATTTTTTCTCCAAATTAGGAGGTAGATCTTTTGAACTTTCTATTTCAGGAGGATATACATATGTTGCCAATTTATCTTCAGCACCGGAATCTCGAGAATCAACAGTTTCTTTACATACATTCAGAATGCTACGGCGGAACTCTATTACTTCTGGGTCTTTCATTTCATCAAATTCATGAACAGGCATTCCTATCGCTAAACCTGCAAAATGAGAGAAAAATTACTTCTTGAGCTCTCCCTTAAATGCATATTATGAATGCATAAAATATTAACTAGGTAATGAAGGAACCAACAAACCAGCCAATTTTAAATCTTGTTTTCTTTGTGAATAGTTAGTATCAGAAAACGCTGCTGACACATTACAGTCTTCAGTCATTTATTCCTCATACATTTTCTTTTAATTCTGCAGGGGAGAAGAAAAATAACTCCCTACTCTATTCAGCAGTGAACATTTATCGTCACACAGTGTGTTCAATCATTAAAAAAATCTTGGTAATTCAAGAGAGCATTCCAGATAAGATTTGATTTCACAATTAGTAATGCATAAAATTAAACAGGCAGTCAATATCAAAAATCATCCATAAATTTTGCAAGACATAGTCAATGTTAGATTACTCTGACAGGTCCTCAACAATAGAGAAAGAAACATTTGAAAAGAGCTTGAAAAATTCAACCTGGTAAAAACCGAAAAACAAGCAATCTTCAACAACTTTTTAGAAGATCTTTATTTGTTTCCATAGCTAAACCCAACAGCTACTCAATAGAGAAAAATTGAAAAAAAAAAAAAAAAAAAAAAAAAAATTACTAGTGCACACAGGTATCACAGGTAATAAAAATCCAAAGAATTTTAATATATCTACTAATGAGTGGAAAATCCAGGACAGTCTAAGTAGATGCCCTCGACAAAATAATAAAAATTTGGGGTTAAGACTGCAAAATATCTTTAAAATTGAGAGTAAATATATAAACATGTTGTCAATAAATGCCAAATTATGCAGATTGTAATAAAATTTGAAGTTGTATGCATTTTCATTCAGCAATAACTCAAAACATAATTTTTGATTTACCATGTACTATAATTGCATTATAACTAGTATTTATTATTCTTGATACATTTTACATATTTAAATTTGTTTCCGATTTCAACAACATATTACAAAATATTAGGAGGGGGGAAATGACTCAAAAACATTTAGATTTAAAAAAAAAGGGAGGAAGAAACAAACAAAACTTTTAAGGTTCTTAAATGTTAATTAACCAGTTATTATGATTTTGTTCTTTACTTCTTTCCATATTCCTGACCAGAATACAAATCAGCTTTTGTATATTTGAGAGTTTTGGATCTAGCAGACAGAGTTTCTGGCACTCACGTAACTGTTAGATTTTGCCAACTCTATCAACTTATCTTGGCTTTTGCATTCTCTCACAGTTGATTGCTTTAACCTTAAAGTTAGCTGAGTTCACTTATGGTTTAGTTTATAGCCTCTGTAGTCTTAGACTACTTTTATCAACATTTAAATTTAAGTACCTGTTAGTAATTCACAATGCCACAAGTAGTGGTTTATAGGTAGCACAAGTTAAGCCATTTTACTCTTAAAGTTCAGTTAAAAAGGTTGCTTTAACATTCTCAAGTCACTGTTATGCTACTTTCAGACATAGCAGTAACTCACTACTTGTCTAGTAGGGTTGTAAGGTTAAAAGCAATATCTCAAATACAACCTTACAAACTAATTAACAGAATCTTAATCAAATCAGAAAAATAAATTTTACTTATTCATT